CTCCTCGTCCGCCGCCGCGTACTACTACAACCACCACCACCCGCCGCCCCCGCACGCGTACCACGGCCCATGGCACCCCGCGCCCCAGCCGCCGCCGTCGCAGATGCCCGCGCTCACGGGGCCCCCGCCCGAGTTCGTCGGCCACCAGCAGGCGCTCAAGGTGAAGAACGACATCAACCTGCGCAAGGACACCATCCGCCTCGTGCCCGACGCCGCCGACCCTGACCGCCGCCTCGTCTCCTTCACCTTCGACGCGGTCACCGACGGCAGGTCAGATTGCTGTCTCCAACGCTGAGATCAGGGCTAGATTTGTTTTGCCTGGTCTAAATTGTGTAGCTACTGCCTACTTGCTGACCTGTAGTAGTAGGGGTTTGTTTACCTGGGGGGGCTAGAGCACATATTTTAGGCTAAACTCTTGTTGGAATTCGGATACCACAAACTTGATCTATGTGAAGCTTAGAGCCTGTTTGGGACTGCTCCATCCTTCCAAATTCAGCTCCACTCCACCAAATCCACTTTGGATCAGTTCCACCCAGGAGTTGCAGCTCCACCATAGAGTTTAGCTTCTAGTTAGCTCCAGCTTCAGGAATGCAAAATTTTGGTGGGAAGGTCGTGGACCAGGTTTTGCGGGGTGGCTGTCTGCTCGTTGTCTGACCGTGCCGGTGGTGTGCCCGGCCGACGCCGAAGCTTGGGCAGCCATGGCCCTCCTCGCTGGGCTGTGGCTCGGAGGCTCGAGGGGGGCTGAGAAACCGGGGGTGGGAGGAACTGGATCTATCCATTCCGGTGGTCGCCTCGCTGGCGTTGTCGTCGTGGCGGTGGCGGCGCTAGGGGTGTGGAGCGGCGCCGTGTTCGTGATGTGGAGGAGAATGAAGGGATACGCGGATAAGGTGGGGGTGCGTGCGTGCGTGTGGGGTACCGGTCCGCCAAAAGAAACAAACCGTTATCCACTTACTAGTGGCAGTGTCCCAACTCCATGTGGACTCCTGAAACTAGAGTTTTTGGAGCACCTCCTGAAGAGCTACACGAACAACACGGAGTTATCCCCCAGATTCAAATTTTTTGCGGAGTGGGGCAGTGTGGAGCTACCCCGTTTGGTTTGTGGTTTTGAGAGTGGTGCTGGAATTTACGGAGTAGAGCAGTCCCAAACAGGCTCTTAATCTTTGCAGTGAAGGGTAACTTTTCAATCTCATGAATTAGTGACTTCTTATTCACCTTTGTATCAAATGTGAAGGATAGATTAGAAATGATGGAGTTACAGGATTGTTCGATTTGTGTATTCTAAATCTGAACCGAAACCCTCTAAAGGGAGGGGTTATTTGAAATTTAAGATGTTTAAATTTTTGTATGCGGGGTTTGTACATCACCTGTAATTGTAGTTCCTTTTGAACTACTGCAGCATAGGTGTAACATATTACATTAGTTCGTGTGGGTACATGACATATTGACTTGTTATAGAAGTTATAAAATCCATTTTACTAGGTGAAATTGTATCTTTTCGCTTGATCATATTCAAGCCTGGTTAATATTATAAAATCCAAATCTGGTTAATATTCCAGCTCTCTTTAGTGTTTAATGACCATATTTATACTTATGATTGTGTATTGCAGTTTAGTTATACATTACTTTGCCAAGGAAGGAAAAGACTGCAATTTTTCTTCAGTGTATCCAGACTTGCAGACACCAACAAAGATACCTTTCCAGAAAGGATTGGCTCAAAATTATGTCCAGCCCTCTGGATCTGGCATTGATCTGGGATTCTTTTCTCTGGATGAGCTTTCAAATCCTTCAGAGGAAGTATACCCACTGGTAGTTTATGCGGAAGCTTCTCCATCTCCAGAGGAAGGTGGTCAAACAGTAAACTCCACACGGGCACAAATTACACTTGCTGTTATAGAGAAACATAACGACGATCTTCAAGTCAAAGTTGTCAAGCAAATATTGTGGATTAATGGTGTGCGCTATGAACTGAAAGAAATATATGGGATTGTCAACTCCACGGAAGCTGATGTTCCTGATGCTGACGATGATGGCATGGGGAAAGAATGCGTTATCTGCTTGACAGAGCCAAGGGACACTGCTGTTTTTCCTTGCAGGCATTTGGTAAGATAATTCATTGTAGTCTGTAGTTCTTTTGCTTTCTCAGATCTCACTTACATTACTTAATTGTTATCTGATTGGTCCTATGTTGTACAGTGTATGTGCAGTGAATGTGCACAAGCTCTAAGGCTCCAATCAAATAAATGCCCCATATGCAGACAGCCTGTTGAGAAACTAATGGAGATCAAAGTTAGGAGTTCTGAGCCATAAGGAAGACTATGCTGGTATGGTTGTTGCTGCATTCTGTCGTTTATTGTTCATATCTTTCTAGACAATATCAGTTTTCAAAGTGCATAGTTATGTTGTTGGTTGTGATCTAGTAATGAATATTAACTCTATCATTTTGACACTTGAACTATGTGTGTTTGATGTTTCTGGTAGTTTTCTAGGTATAGCTATTAGCTAGGACATGGTTCGTCGAAACCAGCCCTCGTCAAAGTTTTGTAACATGCCTTTTATTGAGTTAATTTATAACATTACACATCTTTTCTGTGTGGAGTTAACTTTATAGTTCTGTAATACACTAGACTTGCTCTGGCTAAGTTTCTCCCAATATACATGGTAGAATAGCCTACTATTTTTTTAGGCTCAGCACGTAAATTAAAGCACAGTTACTGGGTTTGTAGGCCTGGTTAATTGTGTGGTGCATCATCATTGTGGAGTTTGTAAGTGGCATACTGCAACCCAAATGTACTCTGTTCTAGTTACCCATGGAACAAAGGCATGCTTCGCTGCTTAGTGTGAGGACCCTGCTGAGGTTAATGTGGTGAAAGATGTGTAAAGCTCACTAGCGGGCTTGAACCAGCTTAAACGCTTTATGGTCATTTTATATGGGACTTGATTTGACACATCACTTTTGCGATGAATGCCAACTTAGTAGATGATTATACACATTTAAGTAGATGCGGGTATTGGGGGTGTTATGCATTCTGCAATTACATGAATAGTTACTACTTCATATAAATTTCAACAAATTAGGTGGGATGTCTTCCATAAGAACTTACAGACCCACCATTGCTGCATTTGCTGATACGAAGCTATGAATTTAGAGACTCCTTTCCAAAGTGGGTACAAATGCATGAAAGACCTAATTCTTTACTCAGACGTAAGTTTTTGCTCACCTTTTTGTACATACAACATTCTTTCACTGCAAGGAAATACCTTTGTTTCCTTTAGTTTGGTGGATCTGAACTCGAAACTACATATTAGGAGTGGTGTATCTTTTAGTGTGCCAGTTAGCGGGTCAGAAGGGCAGCCAAAATGAATCTGGACAAAGCAAATAACTTGGTAGCGTCAAAGCTGTAGCATCATTTTGCATTCCCTACCTATATTGACACACTAAAGTTCTGGTCCAAGAAACCAAACTGTCTGACTATCTCGCATTGTAGAGACATCGAGTGAATTTAAACCGTCTTGAAAAATTATATCCATGTTAGTTTTTATTTTACAATGTCTAATTTTTTTTCTGCTTGACAGTTTGCTCTTCATGCTGAGGATGTGTGAATAATAAGCTGAAAAATGATGGTGTATGGGGCTTCATCAGCTCCCGAAGTTTCTTTTTGTTTCTGGTTAGCGGGCAAAGTCTTTGGAGAATTACGAGTATGAATTGTACAGTACAAATGTAAAGTCGTGGCGGAGATTCCAAACATGTAAAAGCATCTAAAGCCTGTGAATCCGTGTACATATTGGTGTGGATTTTTTGCTGCTACTACTTGTGTCGGCAACCTGTTTTGATAACATGCTCTTATTTTCTTTCAAAAATAAATAATAACACGCACTTATTATTTATCCTGGAGAAGCTCAGTTGGCTGATCGCTAGATTGAGCAAGAGGACCGAAATTAATACTACTAGGATGTATTCGTTGCCTGTGAATCCTGTGTGGACTGAGTCGACACCCTGGGGGTCGCCGTCTCTGACGATGTTGACCCCGTTTCCTCCCACTGCCAGAGCCGTAACCAACAGTGAAAAGAGGACAAAAATACCAGGGGAACTCTACTGCTCTCCCAGGCTACTGAACAGTGTTTGGATCAGCTCGGCTAACACAAATTTGTACTAAGCTCAAGACATTTATTTTGAGACGGAGGGAGTATACAGTAATCGCCAGCAATCTGAACGAAGTCTACTCTGCCGACTGCTCACAATCCCAACACGGCACACGGCAAGCCAACCGGACGCACCGTTACTTGCAGGTAGGTAGTCCCGCATGCATCCTGTGTTGCTACTACTCCTTGCCAGCGCCAGCCAAGCCGCAAGCCCGCACACGTTCGCCCAAGCTGGTCGCTCGTCACTGACAGCCTGCACACAACGTGCACAGCTGCCGGCGGGCCAGCCCCTACTTGTCGCCCGTCGGCACCCGCGGCGGCGCTGCAAGTTACTCCACCACACGAGCCACCGCCGCGCAAACATCCAAAGGCCTACGTCGGCGTCGGACCACGGCCCCGCCCACAGGCCGGGGGAGGAGGGCGGCGCGCAGCCACACAAGCGCACGCGCGCGGCATCACCAGTCGTTCGCCCCTCCCCTCCCTCCCGTCCAAAAACGGCTCGCCGTACGCCCGTGGCCGTACGTACGCACCAAAACTTGATCAAAACTCAAGGGAGGTTAACGTGCACATGGAAACAGAATGCGTGTCGGAGGCAGCGAGTGGCCTCGGACGGCCGCCCCCACCCGGCACAGCCCCAGTGGGAGGAGCAGGACGTGGAGCGCGCGCTGCCTTTGATCGGCGCCGGTTCGGTGGCTGGCTGGCTGGCTAGGTGGTTCGTCCAATCCGATCCGATCCAATCCCCCGGGGGTTTCGGATAGGAACCGAGGGGCAGCGGCCAACCCCTGCCCAGGCCCATGATGGGAACCACTGTTGCCGCCCTGTAGACCCCTGGAATGGATCTCCCTCTCCCTCTCCCTCTCCACTCCCATGATGATTACCACCACCACCACCTCAGCTGCAAAACAGCAGCAGCAGTAGTAGTTGTACGGTACTATTTGCAGACCTAAATGCGATTTGGCGGTGTACTTAGTACTTAGTACTTGATTAGGAGTTGCCGTGACGGCTAGGAAGAGAGAGAGAGAGAGGGGGGCGCGACATGGCCAGCCTTTCGGGAATCGTGCTGTGTTTGGATCAGCCCGGCTCACAGTACAGCCCCAGCCTGCCTGCTGAATGCTGATGCGAATGCGGTCATTCATTCATTCGTTCGCAGGTGCAGAGAAAGGAAAGGAAAGGGTTGGCGGGCCCCGGCGTCCGGGGACTGACTGACAGGCCGAAGAGGACGGGCGGCCGTGGCGGCCATGTGGGCAGGCGGGCAGAGCCAGCGGACGATGCGGCGGTGAAGCCCGGATTTCGCGATGCGGCTGGCTTCGGTGGCCAACTCGGCGCCGGAGCCTCCTCATCCTCTACTCCATTCCATCCAGCAGAAGGATAGATAATGCAGCGCTTAATTATTAATATAATAATACTAATAAACAACCCGTCACTTTCTCTCGCGCCCATAGGCCACAGGATTGGTTGCGCCCGTCCGGCGACCCTGGCGGGCGTCACCGGATCCAGACTTCATTCCTGGGATTCCGATGATCCAATCCAATGAAAACACTGTGCGGATGGATTCGGCGTTGGAACCGTTCGCTCGACAACGAACGGTGTCTGCAACGATCACGGCTCGAACTCGTGGAGCGCCGCCCGTCCAACCCATCCAATCCGTCGTCCCTGTCCGTCTGTCTCACCAGAAACAGAAACGGATAGAGTGGATCCAGTAGCTTAGCTCCTCGATCGTCACCGTGATCGCACGCAGCTACCCCCATCCGCAATTCGTGCCTGGAGCAGAGTTACTTTTCCTTTTTCCCTTTCCTTTGGGGTCGGAGTAGCGGAGTAATGTACTGTAGTAGAGAAATAAAACGGCTCCACGTGCCTGACGAGCGGGGCCCCCGTGTGTTCCGGCGATGATGTGGGGCGCACCTCACCGCAGAGACCAGATTGTGTGTGCGGCAGGCGCCCGCACATTCGTGGGCCCCACGACCTTTCCAACTAGGGATTGGCCAACTGCTCCACCGGCCCCACCGTAACCCAGCCCCGAGGGAGCTTGCCCTGGAAAAATCTTATTAAAGCGCCCCCCTGCGCCCGAGCTCACCAGGCCTCTCTCTCTCTGTTCCCCTGCTCCACCTCTCCGTCCGTCCTCTGCTGCTAAGCAACCGCTCCAGCTCCGGCAAGCAAGCAAGCTCAGCCCAAAGAGAAGGAGCGAGATGGAGGTGGAGATGCAGCTTGACGACGACGTCTTCTTCGCGGAGCTCAGCAAGCGGATTTCGCTCCTCATCACCGACGACGACGAGGCCGACTTCGCCGCCTCGCAGTTCCCCGCCGCCGTCCACCTCCCACCGGTGAGTTGCTTACTTACTTACTTACTTCCTGGCTTATTACTGCTCCGTCTTGCCATTTCTCCCGCCGCTGGGCATGCATGTCGTGTGTGGTGATGGTGGGCTACTGAGCTCGCTTGCTCGATCGATCGGGTGGGTTAGCTCTGCTTCTGTTAGGTTCTTGCAGCTGGCCTGGCTGGCTAGGGGCTTCTCTCCTCGATTGGTAGTTAGTTGGTGGCGCTTGTACCAACTTGGTACCTGTTATTAGTTGCGGCTAGCATGACCACATGACATGGTTGCGCTTGCACACACGACCAAATCAAATCAAATCACACCAAACCATACTTTTCTGCTCGCCCTCCCCTCCCCTCCACTCCCTTGATTAAAAGTGGAACAGCCGAAGAAGACAAGGCAACTTATGCATGAGCGGCCATGTCGTTCGTGGTCTCCAACCATGTCAAGACTTCTTCAGTTAGTATAAGCAACCGTCTTGTCCCACTAATATTACTTAGCATCCTCATGTGCACAGGCGCTATGTGTTGTTGCTACACCGCCCGCTGTGGATTATGCCAGTTAGTTATAAGTGGTTGATTAAGATGGCCGTGGCGTGGATCCGGGGATCGAGTGGCTGCCTGTCGCTGGCCCAGTTGCATGAGCGTACGCGCAGAATTTTGTTTACGCGCAGAATTTTTGATGGATAAGCATCGGCCAGCCAGGAGTTTACATGGCCGCGCATGGATGTACCTTTCGTGCGCACGTCAGTGAATGACAGCTGGTGCATTTAGAGGAAACCAAGCACCTTTTGTGTGAAATCGACCATTTTTGCAAGTTGCCATTGCCAAATCCTGCTCCGGGGGTGGGGCCCCAAGG